TACAGACCTCACACAAGTAGGACTGGACTTACTACTGACCCTTGATGCACCCTAACCTTGATCAGGAAATCCTCCATCTGCCTGCATATGCTTCTAACTCATGTTTTTTGAGCGTCTCTACATGCCTTGCATAAGAGTTACAGACTCCAGCTGCCAATTGTTCCCTCATGCAGCACTGCACCACATCACTTCTCTTGGTACACAGTGAGACATACTTTCCGTGTCAGTGAACGCCGGGTTTTGTCTGAACTTTCCATTGGAAGTCTCTCTGTAAAATCAGGCTAGTCGATTTCCTTAATATGAACACAAGCTGACTGTCACAATTTTTTTACTTCTCAATCTTTGTTCAGCAACCTCTTCCCATAGTTTCATTATAGAGAGATAAAGCTTATGAACCACATAACTGCCACAGTTGTGCATCTCTCCTTTGTTCTGAAAAGCAGGCATCATGAAGCTCCTTCTCCATGCATCCAGAATCTTTTCATAATACATGATCTAATTAAAAAATACCGTGAGATGACTTCTGCTTTCTCATCCTAGTGCTTTGCATGCCATTCTTGGTACCAAATTACCTCTCATATTATTACTTTAATAATATGTATTATTAGTGATGATGACAGAACAAGGCAACCAACTAATGCCTCTAATGATCTCAGTGACTCAAACCCTTATTTCTTTTCAACTCCTAGCAGAAATTAGACTCAATGCAAGCAGAAGTGAAATTGAGGGAGAAAAATCATTGTTCTATCTCTCTGGAATAATTTTCCCCCCAAAATTTAACCCTTTCATTTGTTGCCCTTTTTCAAAGGGAACAATGAGAAACTGCTTTATTTTACAACCAGCTTTCTTAGGTGACTTAATTACTACATAATTCAAGTACATCACAGTGGCTGCATCTACAAAACATGCTTACTGCACAGTAGCTCACTACTAATGCGCAGTAGCATCGCCAGGCACAAACCATCAAGTGATGCTACTGCACAGTGGTAATGAGCTACTGTACAGTAAGCATCACTAGGCAATTGTGCTGGGAAGCTACTGCACAGTAATGGTTATGCAAGCACTAAATGACTGCACAGTAATAACTGCACAGTGGGCGGCTCATGTAGATATGCCCAGTGATACTGTAACAAACTTGGATTCAGAGTCAAAGTGGAGCAGAAAAATACTGCCTAGTTTTGTTGGCATTTTCACAATGGCAAAACTTTGGAAAGAGCAAAGAAGCAATTCAAAGTCAATCTTTTCTTCCTTTTGTTGGGTGTGTCAAATGTATTAAATTTTCACATAGATTATAAACAGCTTTGTGAGCAGACACAGGGAATGTTAGTAGTATTTGCCTTACAGTAACACAATGGCCCCAGCTGAGACGGAGGTTCCATTTTGCAAGATACACATACATAAGCTAAGACAGTCCCTTTCTCAAGAATTTGTAATCGAAACAGAAAAGACACAAAGAATAGCAGGAGAAAAGGACTCAGAGGTAAAGTTGCTCATCCAAAGTTAAACAGCAAGTCAGTGGCAAAGCTGGGAACAGAACTCTGTTCTGCCTTCTGACGCTGTCCTCCTTCGGACAAGAAGTAAGCTGTTCCTAAGCTTTACTTTCAAACATTAGCAAGAGATTAAGGCTTTGGATTGATGTAACCTGCAACAGCTTTGAAAGGGGCAGTAGAGTTGTCACTTCAGAGCACACTTCAGGTATCATACTATAGCTTACATCCTCATGCTCCTGTAGAGATAAAAGTGAGCCAAATTACTTGAACTTTAACTCTGAATGAAATAAGGTTCAAGTCACCATGGTTTTGCTTGACTTATGTCTGAATGCTCTTACAGCAGAAAAAGAGTTACACCTAACAGTGCATACCAATGATCACTTGATAATATACAATAGATAACTGTTATGCCTGTCCATACTCTAAAAGAGTAGCTCTTGTCTAGTCCAGCAAAATGAAGGCTAAAAGAGAATAGGATTGTTCTCTGTAAATATAATAAAGAAGTTAAACTCCAGGGAGAGAAAAGAATCATTTAACCTGAAAGACAATGCTGGAGTAGAACAAATAGATAAAACCTGCCCATGAATATATTTAGTTTGTAAATTAGAAGAAGGTTCCTAAACAACCGAGAAGAACAGAACAGTAAGGTTCCAACAGTTTCACAGAGGAAGAAGTAGGGACAAAGAGAATGAAGAAAAAAAATATTTAAGTTGCAACTTGATCAATTTATAAAAAGGACTGTATGGGCATTTATACATGTGGTTGGGGAGGGCGTTTTCATAGTTTCTACGATTGGAAGGGACCTGAGCAGATCATCAAGTCCGACCCCCTGCCATGGCAGGAAAGAGTATTGGGGTCAAACGACCCCAGCAAGGTGATTGTCGAGCCTTGTCTTAAAGACCCCCAGGGTAGGAGCCAGCACCACTTCGCTTGGAAGTTGGTTCCAGATCCTAGCCTCCCTGACAGTGAAGTAGCGCTTCCTGATGTCTGAATTTACCCTCTGCCAGCTTGTGACCGTTATTTTTAGTCACTCCTTGTAGTGCTCGGGGAAACAGGGACTCCCCCAATGCCTGCTGGTCCCCTCTGACTGGTTTGTAAACAGCCACTAGATCCCCCCTCAGCCTTCTCTTGTGGAGGCTGAACAGGTTCAGGTCC